GATGGGTTAGCCTGGTGATGGGTATTAAAGAGGGCACGTACTGAATGGAGCACTGGGTGTCCCCTTTCTTCTCTTCTGTGCTCCAGCCCCCAGTGATCTAATGGCAGTGACAGCAGCCGTCTATAGGAGCCAAAACTACGAGGGAGGGGAACCCACCTCTGCATTCAGTGGCGCTGTCATTTCCAAAGGCTGAGACCATCCCCCGCTGCCTTTTTTCTTTCTTTGTCCTCTCTCTGGTTGGCCAATGTAGGCCAAGTCACGGAAGTGCATGACAGTGTGAACTTTGTGGCCAGAGACTGACAAGTGGTCCCAGGGAATTAGAAGGTACCAGGGAAATCATGGAGAGGAAGGAGCTTGGCAAAGCAACTCCATAAAGGTTTCTTTTTTTTAAATAAATTCCTGGGCTCACTGTGTTTCTGTACATGCATGAATCTGATCTTAATTTGCATATCAGTCCTTTGAGAACTCTGCCTAGGTTCCAGACTGAGCACTGGGTGACACACACATGCAGATCCAAATAGTGCTGCCAAAGGCTTTGAAAAACTGAGCTGACATAAGAACCAGAGCTCTTGGAAGCCCACCCAGGGGCGTGGAACTTGCAGCCGGAACCTAACCAAGTTGAATGAAAACTACAACAAAAATATCAACATTCTCCCTAGGCTTTAAAAAAGACCCAGAATCTCAGAACATAATAGTCAAAATGTACAGAATACAATCCAAAATTCCTTGCCATATGAAGAATCAGGAAAATTTCAATTCCCTTGGAAAAGACAATTAACTAAACACAGCAATAACACAGACGTTAGAATTATCTGACAAAACTATGATAAAAATCTCCAATCAGCAATCATGAACACTGCAGAAACCAATGGGTAAAAGAGAAAGTCTCAGGCAAGAAACAGATGGCATAAACAAGAGTCAGGTCGAAATTTTGGAACTGAACAATACAATAACAAAAAACCCCCAAAAAACAAACAAACAAACAAAAAAAACCACACCACCTCTGATGGGCTCAAGAGCAGAATGGGGATGACAGAGGAAAGAAAGCCAGCAGCAAATCATCTTCTAGCTGGGTGACCATTTATCACTACTTTTTCATGCATTTCTCTCTCTTTTAATTAACTACTGAGGCATAACAAGCCACATCAAAATTTAGTGGCTGAACCTGGAAACAATTTATAATTTCTCTCACTTCCACGGGAGGGCTGGGCAGCTTCTCTGCTGGTCTTGCCTACATACATTCATGTTTCTGCATTCAGCTGGAGGGGTGGCTGACTGGCGGTCCAAGATGGCCCCACGCATAGGAGTAGCAGGTGGTGCTAGCCTTTGACTGGCGTGTCTCAACTAGTTCTCTTTAAGCGAACTTTCAACCTCTAATAGGCCAGACTGGGCTTCTTCATGGTATGGTAATCTCAGCGTTCCAAGAGGGTGAGGTCTGGAGCCACAAGGCCCCTTAAGCCCTCGGCTCTGAAATCCATACAATGTTAATCTCTGTCATAGTGTTTTGGTGAAAGCATATCACAAGAACAGCACAGAGATAAAGGTAAAAAAATTAGACTATCTCTTGATGAGAGAGAAGCTATTAAGACTTTGCAAATGGGTGTGGACACAGGGAGCCACGACTCTTTAGCATCATTATTTCAATGTTACACCATACCCTTCCAAGGGAATTAGTGCTACAAGTATCAAAGGCCATGGTCTACAATTGCTATGACAGTAGAAGAGACTGTGAGATTCAGAGAGGTTTAGCGCTTTGCCTAAGATCACACAGCTCGTTTGGGAGAAAACATAAAAACTAAATCCCAGGACTGCTGATTCCACTGACCAGTCCTCACGTCTCTGAGAGGGGCCATGTGGTATTTTGAACACTGGCTATTTAACAGGTGGGAGAGTAATGGGCAACACTTGTATAATGTGTTAGCAGTCATTTATTATTCAGATCCATTTGTGAAGGAAATCAGTGCAGGCACTTGTGGAGTCTATGAAAAAAACTGAAGCGAAGAGACTCAGTAAGAGCTATTCATTATGTAGCAATAGAGGTCCTAACCCATTCAGTGCTCCAAGACCTGGCGCATTCAGTCTCTTGCGTTCCTGGCACTCAAAGCCTAATTTCTCCATTGAGGCAGAATTCACATAACGTAAAATTAACCGTTACTCATTTTACATTATAAAATTCAGTGTCATTTGGCACGTTCACTAGGTCATGTAACTGTTATCTGTATCAAATTGCAAGACATTTCTATCACCCCAAAAGGAAACCCTGCACCCATGAAGCGCCACTCCCCATTTCTCCCTCCCCCTGGCCCTGGCCACCACGGGTCTGCTTCCTTTCTACGGATTTGCCTATTCGGGATGTTTCAGGTAAGTGGAATCATACGCATGAGCTTTTGTAACTTCTTTTACTTGGCACATTTTTGAGGTTCATCCATGTACCAGCACTGCATTATTTTTATGGATCAGATAAACATGAATGACACCCATAATATTCCATTGGATGGACAGACCACATTTCGTTTATCCATTCATCAGTTGACGGGCATTTTGTGTTCTCTCCACTTTCTGGCTATCATGAATAGTGCTGCTATAAACATGTGTGTGCAAATAGTGGTTTGAATACCTCTTTTCAATTCTTTGGTGTATATAATCAGGAGTGGAATTGCTGGGTCATATCGTAATTCTATCAAAGCTTAATCTGGATTCTAGTTTTTGACAAGGCTTCTTAAAATGGTTTGAGATCAATAACATGCTGCCAGCATTACCTTGTCTCTAAAGTCAATGTGGTTCTGGAGGATGGCTCTGTGGTAAGTGGCTGTCCTCACAAAATCCTGCATCATGTTCTGCTGCTGGGAAATGCAGCCATAAAACTGTAAGGAAAAGAAAAGGATAGGGAGAGTCAACAACCCACAAGGCATCACCTTCATGAGCATCTGGTTCTTACAGTCACCTTGGTCAAGGTAGGCTGAGCCTAATGCGCAGGCTAGCCGAGGCTCTGAAAGATGCAGTGACCTGTCCACATTCGCCTCATTTCTAAGGTCTAGAACTATAAGTCGACTCCAGACTTCTGAAGGCTGATCCATGCAATAGATTCAGGCCTAGATACTGGCCAGAGAGGTGCCCAGGGTCCCTTCTCAAAGCAGAGGTTATAAGAGAACACAGATCAAGACTAACAGGGGTAAGAGAGAGAAAGAGGCCAGAGCCAAAAGGGAAATCCCTAATGAGTCTCCTGAGCCAGGAGAGAAAAACGGGACTTGGACAGAAATGCTGAGTGAGGGCAGGAGTCGGGCAGAAGGCAGTGGCGATGGCAATCCTGATCAGGCAAGCCAGCTGGGTGACGTGGCGCGTACAAATCCATGAACACTGGGTCACAAATATCAGCATTGTAACTGCCCCCCTTTAGTAGAGTTTGCTATGTTACGGGCACCATGCTAAATGATTCACATACATCCTCTAATCAAATTAAATCATTATAAAAATCAGACGAATTTCATTCCCCAGATGACAAAACTGAGGCTCAGAGAGATACGGCCACTTGCCCCCAAGTCCTGACAAGTTGAGAAGTGATGGTATGAGGATCCCAAGCCAGGGGCTGCTGCAGCTGCGCTCAGGGGACCGCACGGTGGGAAGCTGCAGGGCCACGCCCACTGCCTCCTCTCCGCCCACCGGCCTACCCAGGTGTGTCCACAGGAGTGTTCGCAGGCCTGCATCACCTGCAAACAACTTCTTTCCGCCTGGGGGCAACTTTCCTGACCTGGAAGTACTGCACAGCAGAAGCCTCTTCTGTCCGCTGGCTGAACACTGAGGATTCCTTTTTCTCATTCCGGCATCTTTTCAAGGTATTTGAAAATGAGCTGAGATCTGCAAGGATAAAAGGCAGACCCGTTTCTACACTGAGGGAACCACAGAACTGACCGCTGCACTTTTACACAATTCTGAGAAAATACTGGAAGATTCAAAGCGCAAGTTCATCCCCAGACACACACAGGATAAGGAATGGCAAGGTGGAAATGGGCACCGCTCTGAGATGTGACAGCCTTCCTTACACTTGTCAGCCATATTTGCATTCACCAGTGTCATGTGACACAGCATAATGGGACACGCGGAGACGGCTCAGGGACTTCTCCCGGTCCTGTGCTCACAGAGCTTACAGGCTTATTCTCAGTATGTGCTCTGGGGAAGGTGATTGCTGATGATAAGGAAAAAATATATATATGTGAATACAAAATATACATACAATGAATAGATATACATATTTCTATATATATAAAAATCTCATTCTATTGTCACGACAGGGTTTTTTTTTTTTTTTCACATTTAGTATTCTCCAGGCGTAGAGAGAAGAAGTAAAATAACCAAAGAGATGTGAATACAAGGAAATGCTTTCTATTATTTGAGGAAAAGAAATACATAGATGACGGCTCAAAAAATCCCAGAAGTGTTATTACTTCGAGATAACACAGCATACACAGCAGTCAAGTTTTGTGACTTCTGCCTTAGAACGGTCTCTTACATCCTTGCCCAGTAGTCCTCATCACCCGTGGCCTTCTCCCTCGGCACCTCTGGTGATGTGCCCAAGTCTCTCCCTTACAGCCTGTGCTGGATTCCTGATGGCCACACACTCTCAGTTCACCATGAGCTCCAGCCCCTCATGCTTTGTCGGCCCTCGCATGCTACCTTATACACCTTCTCCTTGTGCCCTACATCCTCCATGCTTCCGCCATGTGGAAGTACTTGTGAATTCCCACATCAACTTGGCCCTGGCCTGGCTTCTTGACTTGAAACCCCCCAGCTCTTCTCTTTAAATTCACTTTTGACATCAAATTCCTATTCATCCCCCAAGATTCAGCTCAACCAGCCTTTTCTCATTGCTATGTTCTGGAACACCCAAAGGCATGGTGGGCCTCAACACTTGATCAGAATCACCTGAAAAGATTTTTTAGACTATGGATGTTGAACCCTCATCCCACACCTGTTAAGTCAATCAATCAAAAAAAAAAAAAAAGTAAATAATTTAATCCTAGGAAATTTTAAAACTCAGAAAAGAAAGCCAGGAACAAAAAATGATTGCTAGATATAACCACTAAGAGTATTTTGGGATAAAATCTCCCAGTAATTTTTCTTCGTTGTGTTTTTATCTATCTCTACATTATTTATAATAATAGTATCATACTCTACTGTCAATACTTTTCATATAGAATCTCTCATCCACACTTAAAGCTACAAAGCCCACTAACTACAATGTCCTTTTGTTCCCGTTTCTCCTATTTGTTCTCAGAGGCAACATCAGAGCCTTAGTAGATCTTAATTTCAACAAGGTTTTTAACTATGTTCCTTCAAATTTTGGACCTGCTTATTTGCTTATCAAGTTCTACTGGGGGTCAAAAGTACCAACCCTACAGAACTATAATTTTCTATATTTGCATTTTATTCCCTTTAAATGATATCGGATAATATTTTAAAACTTTAAAATGTTTGAAAACTTTGTTAGATAAAAACTTGCAACAAACTTGGTATAAAGGGAATACACCTCAACATGGCAAAGGCCATACATGACAATCCTGCAGCTGACATCATACTCAACAGTAAAACGCTGAAAGCTTTTCCTCTAAGACCAGAAATGAGACAAGGGTGCCCACTCTCACCATTCCCATTCAACACAGTATTGGAAGTCCTACTCAGAGCAATCAGGCAATAAAAAGAAACAGAAGGCATCCAACTTGGAAAGGAAGAAGCAAAACTGTCTCTATTTGCAGACAACATATTATATATAGAAACCCCAAAGGACTCCACCAAAAAACTGTTAAAACCAACAAATTCAATAGAGTTGCAAGATACAATATCAATATACAAAAATCAGTTGTGTTTCAAAACACCAACAATGAACTACTAGAAAGAGAAATTAGGAAAGCAATCCCATTTAAAATTGCATCAAAAAGAACAAAATACTTAGGAATAAACTGAATCAAGGAGGTGATACCAGTTATCCGTATTCTAAAAACTGTAAGACATTGATGGAAAAAAATTGAGGATGAGACAAATAAGTGTAAATATATCCTGTGTTCATGGATTAGAAGAATTAATGTTGTTAAACTGCCCATATGCCCAAAGCAATCTACAGTTTTAATGCCATCCCTATCAAAATTCCAATGGCATTTTTCACAGAAAAAGAAAAACAATCCTGAAGTTTGTATGGAACTGTAAAACCCCTAACAGCCAAAGAAATCTTGAGAAAGAAGAACAAAGCTGGAGGCATCACACTTTCTGATTTCAAACTACACTGCAAAGCTGCAGTAATTAAACCAGCATGGTATTGTCCTAAAAACAGACACAAAGATTAATGGAAGAGAATAGAGAGCCTCATGCTTATATACTCAATCAATTTACAACAAAGAAGCCAAGGATATATAATGGGGAAAGGATAGTCTTTTTAATAAATGATGCTGGGAAAACTGGATATCCACATACAGAACAATGTAACTGGAACTCTATCTTACAACATATACACAATAATCAACTCAAAACGGATTAAATAGCTGAACATAAGATCTAAAGCCATAAAACTTCTAGAAGAAAACAGGGATAAACACCTCAACATTGGTCTTGGCAATGATTTTTTGAATTTGACACCAAAAGCAAAGGCAACAAAAGGAAAAATAAATAAGTGGGAATACATCAAACTAAAAAGCTTCTGCACAGAAAAGGAAACCATCAACAAAACAAAAAGGCAACTATTAAATGGGAGAAAATATTTGCAAATCACATATCTGATAAGGGGCTAATATCCAAAATATATAAAGAACTCGCACAACTCATAGCAGAAAAAAAGAATCAATCTGATTTAAAAAATAGGCTAAGGGACTGAGTAGACATTTTCCCAAAAACATAGATGGCCAACAGATAATGAAAGATGCTTCATATCACTAATCATCAGGTAAATGCAATCAAAACCACAATGAGACATCACCTCACACCTGTTGGTGTGGCTGTCATCAAAACGACAAAGGTAACACGTGTCAGTGAGGATGTGGAGAAAAGGGAATCCTCGTGCACTGTTGGGGGCGGGAATGTAAATTGGTGCAGCCCCTGTGGAAAACAGTATGGACATTCCTCAAAAAACTAAAATAGACCTGCCATATGATCTAGCAGTCCCACTTCTGGGTATATATCCAAAGGAAGTGAAATCATTATCTCAAAGAGATGTCTGCACTCCCATGTGCATTGCAACATTATTCATAATAGCTAAGACATGGAAGTAGCCTAAATCTCTGTCAACAGATAAATGGATAAAGACGTGATATAAAAATGACATCTTATATCATATCTATCTACTTCCCCCAATGAAATATTATTCAGCCATGAGACAGAAGGAAATTCTGCCATTTGGGACAACATGGATAAAACTTGTGGCATTAAATTAAATAGGACAGGGGAAGAAAAATAGAGTATGTTATCACTTGTATGTGGAATCTTCTTTTAAAAAGTCAAATTCATAGAAAGATAGAGTAGAAAACTGGTTGCCTGGAGCTGGGGGCGGGGTGGGCAGAAAAGAACAGGGAGAGGTTGGTAAAGGGATATAAATGTTCAGCTATAAGGAGTGTAAGATCTGAGGATCTAATATATAACATGGTGACTATAGCTGCTAACAATGGACTGTATAATTGAAATTTGTTGAGGGAACTGAAATGTTCTCACCAAAAAATAAAATAAAATTTCTCAGACATACTAAAACACCCCAGAAGGTATTAGATAATATTGACTCAGCTCTAGTCTCTTGGCTCCTCTCCAATTCCCTCTGAGCTTTCAGAGACCGCGGCAGTGGTGTCACCCATCTGTGAGTTCTTCGAATCCTGGGCATCTACGCTGCTTGGGCTTTCAAAGCCTACAGTAAATTCATTTGTCCAACAAATAGTCTTTTGAATATTCTCAACAGTTGCAAGTCTACATACTTTGGGGGACATCTGACTTTTTAATACAGCCAAATATAATGGGTGCCTAATTTAGTAAACAGGATGTGTGACAAGTTGAAAAGTATCGTTTTTAGTTAACAAACAAGATTATGACTATCAACTAACATGGATAGTCTTGTGTCACTCACCAATGGTCTCCAAAGGAAAACGTAAAAGAGAAGTTCTAACAGAGTTTTAGGTTACACCAGCATCCGTGCAATATATAGACAGCCTTCCAAAATAAACACTAATTGGATATACCAGCTCTACTATGTTTCTATTAAAAAATATTATATTCTTACATTATAGACACTTTAGTCACAACTCTATCGTAATCTCTTGTTTAACAAGTTTAAGACGTATTTATGGGATTTAGGAAATAAGGAGCATCCAATCCAGGAAAGTCCAGGAATCAGCAATCAGTGAACTCCTGCCTATGGTGATTTCTGTCACAATGGCTCCTAGGAGAATGTTCTCTTTGCAAGCCTCCCTTGCCTTTATTTTAATGGTTAAATAAATGTGTGCAAGTAAAGGAAATGTCTGTGTTTCCATAGGATATATAAAGATTTTTTTTAAAAAACGCACTTTCAAAAGGAAAAGAAATTTAATTGTTGATTTCTCCCTCCCCTCAGTCTCCAGAAGAAAGGACTCTGGAGGACACTGTCTTAATCCATTCGGGCTGCTCTAACAAAGCACGATAGACCAGGTGATTTATAAACAATAGAAATCCATTCCTCACAGGTCTGGAGGCTGGAAGTCCAAGATCAAGGTGCCAGCATGGTCTGGTTCTGGTGAGAACCCTTTTCTTGGTTGCAGGCTGCTAGCTTCCGGCTATATCCTCACATGATGGAAGGGGCAAGGGACCTCTCTGAGGTCTCTTTTATAATCATATCCCAAAGGCCCTACCTGCAA